ACCCTTTCTTCCGAGTGAACTTTAATTCCAAAGGCCGAAGGGAAATGGTTAATCTCATCTACGACATCAACGTTGATCGTGATGGTCCATTCGCTGACCCCCCAAATGCCGATTTGCATTCTTCGAGTGGTCGACCCGTCATTCGTCTTATAGGGAGATGTTCTGCTCCCTCTCTCTCCCTTCCATGAAGATTTTAGCTTAGAACATCAAGGATCTCAGTGACCCTTTGAAACGCCGGCACATTAAACGGAACTCTAATTCAAGGATTTTCCCCACGGTGATGGCGTTCTTTGACTTCATTACCAGCAATCAACTGCTGGATGTACCCCTTCAAGGGGCTCACTTCACCTGGTCGAACCACTCGGAAGACCCCTCTCTGTTAAGCTTGACTGGTACCTCCTTTCTCTTGAGTGGGACTCATCTTTCCCCAACTCCCACTCCGTAGTCCTCCCCAAGCCTATCTTCGATAACCAGGCTATCCTTCTCAACGCTATTGTCCTGGGCCGAGGTCCCAAGCCCTTCCGTTTTGAGCTGTCTTGGTTGGAGGAGCCCCATCTCCCCTCCCTCGTTGCCTCGTGGTGCCTTTCTTTCTCCCCTATTGTTCGTGGTTGGCCTGGCTTTCGCCTTCAGTGTAAGCTACATCTTTTAAAACTCGCCCTTAAGCACTGGTGCAAAAACCTTCTGGGGAATTTCTTGGACCAAAAGCAGCTTTTCTCAACACTATTCTCCTCCTTGATTCTCACGAGGAATCTGCAGCCCTTTCTCTTGCTAACCAAATTGAGTGTCGCGAAGGCAAGTTAGCTCTCCATTCCATTCTTCGTCAGGAGGAAATCTTTTGGGCGCAGCGCTCCAGGGTCAAGTGGTTAAAACTGGGCAATAATAACGCCGCATTCTTTCATAAGATTGTGAATTGTCGCAAACGTGACAATACCATTTCCCTTATCAAAGTTGGAGATCAGCATCTCGACCAACCGCAGCTCATTGAGCAAGCCTTCATCAACTTCTTCCAGACCCTTTTCAAGGTGCAGGAAGGCCGAGGCCTTTTTGTCATCCCTTAGTTTCAGGGCTCTCCCACCCGACAAAGCAGTGTGGTTGGAACGCCCTTTCGAAAAAGCTGAAATCCTTGAAGCAGTCAAGTCCTCAGGCCACGACAGAGCCCATGGCCTCGACGGCTTCCCTGTTGCGCTCTTTCTTCAGTTTTGGGACACCCTTAAGACTGACGTGGGGGCTTTCTTTGCTGATTTTCACTCTAGCGGAGTAATCAATAGGGCCTTGAATGCTACCTTTCTGGCTTTAATCCCCAAAATCAAAGGTGCGAAGGAGTTAAGAGACTCTAGGCAGCCTAGTCAATAGCTCTTACAATATCCTCTCCAAGATTTTAGCCACTAGAATCCATGAGGTACTGATTTGGGTCATCTCACCTACTCAAGGCGCTTTTGTCAAGGATCGTCAAATCCTAAACGGTGCCCTTATTGCGCACGAATGCCTTCATACCCGTCATTTGGCAAAAACCCCTGGTTTGGTTATTAAGCTGGATTGGGAGAAGGCGTATGACCACGTCAACTGGGATATTCTCGATGAGACATTACATCGCATGGGCTTTGGTGCATGTTGGCAGAGGTGGATGAGAGGGTGCATTTCCTCACCCACTTTCTCGGTTATCATCAACGGCACATCCAAGGCCCTGTTTCAAGCTTCTTCCTTTTCTCTATTGTTGCTGAAGTCTTCAGTGGTTCCCTTTCGAGTCTGTACCATGCTGGCCTGGTCAAGGGCTTCAGGCTAGCCCCAAGGGACCTTCGGTCTCCCACCTTCAAATGCCGATGACACCCTCCTTTTTTGTGACGCCTTACCTGATCAGATCCACTACCTTCGCATTTTTCTCAGATGCTTCCAATGGGCTACGGGCTTCAAAGTTAACCTTGCCAAGACCAGTATGATGGGGGCGGCCATGACTTTGGAGTCGGTGTCCATTTTCGCTGATCTTTGGGGTTGCAAAGCTCAACCATTTCCTGCCTCTTATTTAGGTTTTCCCCTATGTATCGGGAAGCCTAAAGCTAGTCAGTAGTCCCATATTATCGATAAGTTCGATAGTAGATTCGCAGGATGGGAAGGCCTTTTCCTCTTCCTTGTAGGTAGACTCACCCTGATCAAGGCGACTCTCTCTAACACCCCTATTTACCGAATGTCCCTTTTCCCAATCCTGGTCTCTGTGGCAAATCGGCTCGAACAACTCATGAGAAATTTCCTTTGGTTTGGCACTGATGGAAGGAAATTTCATCTCATTGCTTAGGTGACGGTCTGCGCCCTGAAATCCCTTGGAAGCCTAGGCATTCGCAACATTAGGAAGACCAATGCTGCACACATTGGTAAGTGGTGGTGGAGGGTTGCATCCCAAACAGATCACTTATGGCAAGAGGTGGTCCGTCTCAAATATCGGTGGCCTCCGGAGGCTTGGTTTCCTGACTCAGGGTCCCCTACAATGCCTCAAGTATTTGGAAGCATTTCCATTCTTGCCTTCACCGCTTCCTCTCCCATATTCGCTTTCATCCTAGAGAGGGTAACCGTATTGCCTTTTGGTCGGACATTTAGTTGGGCCACACCCCACCCAGGGACTGATTCTCCACCTTTTACCGGTTGGCTAGAAACTAGTTATCCACCATTGCTGAGAATTTTGAACCCTTTCCCTGGGGAAGGGTTTGGACCCCTGCCTTCAAAAGGTCCCTTAATGACTCCGAGTTACCTGATTTTCTTGATTTTGCAGACCCTGCTCAACATTTTCCTCCCTTCTTCGGGTTTTGATAAGGTGGTTTGGACCCCTTCCCCTTCAGGAGTGTTTTTGGTTGCCTCTTTTTATAAGGCTTTCCTCTTGTCCTCCCTTGCTCCCCCCCTTCCTCTCCTGCCCATGTTGCTGCTAAGGCCTGAAATTCTCTGGGTCCCCTAAAATCACCTTCTTTATTTGGGTGACCACCCGTGAGAGAGCCTTAAACGTGGACCATCTTCAAAGAAGGGGCCTACAACTACCCAACAGATGCATTATGTGTAAGAAAGAAGCTGAAACCAATGCTCATCTCTTTCTACATTGTGAGATAGTGCCTTTCCTCTGGAACTCTATCCTCCAACTTTTTGGCTGAAACCAATGCTCATCTCTTTCTACATTGTGAGATAGCGTCTTTCGTCTGGAACTCTGTCCTCCAACTTTTTGGCTAGGTTTGGGTCACCCCTCAGACTGTTCCAGAGCTCTTCTCTTCTTACCTTTCACTCTCGTGGGCTAGATCAGGTATTATTCTTTGGAAAGCTTCTGTGCCAACCTTACTCTCGACTCTGTGGTTGGAAAGGAACCAGAGAATCTTTAGGGGAGAATTTTCTAATCCTGTCACGCTGATGGAAAAGGTGAGATCTTTGGTCTTCTTTTGGGCAACCAACTCTAAAGCTTTCAAGTGCTTCTCAGTGGCGGACTTCCACCAAAATTGGAAGGCTATGCTTCAGTTATGGCCTACCCAAGTTCCTAGATCAGCCTCTTGGTTGCAATTAAGCTTATTTTCGATGGTTGCTCCCTGGGCAATCCTGGACCCTCAGGTGTAGGTCGCATCTATCACAACCATGCAGGCTGCACCCTCCTCTCCTTTGAGCAGTCCCTCAGTAGCTCAGACTCCACCGAGGCAGAGGCAATGGCTCTCCTTCATGGCCTTCGATACTTCAACAAGGACTGGGGAAACTCTCTGGTGATCGAAGGAGATTCTGCCAATGTTGTCGCTTGGGCTTCTACCCCAGCCCAGTGCCCTTGGAGGCTAGAGTCCGTGTTTGACGAAATCCAATATAGGTGGTCCCTCTTGCAAAACACTTGGAGGCATACGTGGACAGAGGCCAGCTCCATCGCTGACTCTAGCCAAATCTGGAGCTCTGGGCTCAAATTCTGTGGACGGTCCACCGGAGATCACCTAGTTTGGTTTTGATCCTATTATAGCTTTGTACTTCTGCTGCCCTGTTATGGGCTCTATTTCTGTTGTCCTGTAAAGGGTATTACTGTCCTTCACTACTTGTGGGAGGGCAACCTTTGTGTTTTCTTTTTATCTCAATACAAGTAAACATTCTCAAAATAAAAAAAAAAAATTATTAGTGTAAAACACTCAAATGTGTTTAACAAAGATTAATGACTCCAGGTTTTTTAAGATCAAATATTTAGTTTATCGAATAAAAGTCCTTGTTTAATTTGGAAAACTCGCCAAATCAACTTGACGTACAAGTCAGGGCGGTCATACCAGCACTAATGCACTGTCAACTCGATATCCAAGTCATGTTGTTTTATAAATGGAAAACTTCAGATGTACTATTTAATAAATAAATGTCACTTGTGAGAATGCGGGATTAATAGAATCAGAATATGCTGTCAATTTGAACCCCATAAACAATTTCCCTCTTTTAAAGGATTTTTGCAGAGCTTGAAAAACTTGGTCCAAGTTCCATTTCTGTGAGTCTACACCAAAAATGCTAGCTTAAGGCATTTAAGGCTCTTCATGAAGAGTCTGGGCAATGTTCTAGGTATTTAAATCAACTCGATAGTCTCTCTGAATCAGCTCGAGTTGAGTAGTCGTGAATATAACGTACATCATTAATAAAAAACACGAACAATTTTCTCTAATGGTTGCTGACGTAGTTGACAATTCATAGTCAAACGTGTTGGCCCGGTTCCAGCCGGTCTATTGGTTTTCGAAAAGCAGATATAGCTATTTTTAGCATATAAATTGTATTTCAGCTCAACCAGGAAATTCAACAATCACTTGGCAAGCAAGGATATAAAAAATCAGTCATTATAACTTGCTGTAAATTTCATTAGTACTCTATAAATGATGCACTAAGATGACAACTTTGTCATGCATAAAAGAATCAAAACTCAATATTGATCATGAGTGTTGTGAATCTCATAATGAACATAAACCTCATAATGAAGTTTACTCTTTTGAAACATGCATTCTTTTGTTCTATTTGTTTCTCTCAATTAGAATGGTGTACAGGTAATAGAAATTATTGCGCCACTCCCACGTATCCTCCAAAGTGAAGAAGAGCGTGATCAGTATACAGAGACACTGATGGAAATTCAGACAACTGATGCTTCTAATTCTCTTTAACGTGATGTTGTATTCAGAGAAGGTTGGCAAATCTGCAAGCGATAACTCAATATCCTACTCCAATGATAACCAACATTTCTCCTGCAAAAAAGAAAAGATATGTTGCTCCTCCTATTGTGGCTTGAAAATTTCAAGAGAACCACATTCTAATATCTTACTCTTTTATGACCATCGTATTGTTATATTCTTTATCTTGAACATCTTTACTGGTCTTTAGTCAATGAGTTATTTAATAGATAGTTTCTCCTGCTCTTTAATGCAATGATACATACTGGACACTCAAATGGATTGTAGCAACCATGCTTCGTCCTGTCCTTCATACTGAAGTTCTACATGTTTCATTTATCCTTCCATGGCAACATTTGCCTGTTGTCTACTTGTTGAATTTTGACGACAATTTATGAGATTACATACTGTGAGTAATCCAGTTATCTAGAGATCCATGCATTTTTCTTTCCAAAACATTGTCTTTTCATAAGAAGATCAAGACTTTTGGTGCCACCTAAGAATTTTTTTTTTCTTTTTTCCATAAATTCTTTTGGGTATGGTAGGGGTTCGTGCATCTGTTAGTCGTACAAAGAAACTCGGGTTCATGGTCAATGATTTACAGTTTTCGGTGTGGTTTGCATAAGGTTGCAACATTCAAGCACCTCCAACCTTTGTCATGAGATACAATTTTGGTGTTAAAATTTTTTAGGATTTTCTGGTAATAATCTATTTTTTTCTCTAATATAAAATTTTAAAGTAAAAAAATGTTTCAAATCAAGCAGATTTATAAGCACATAAAAATCTTGAAAGTACATGGTCTAGATAATGTGTAGCAAGATGTATTATTTTTATGACTTGAAATCTCTTGTTTTCTCTGTATCTATGAATCTCGATGTCAAGATAATCAATAATATGTTTTCCTAATATTGAAACAACTTTTTTTGAAAGATTTTTTTTGGAAAGATTTTAGAGTTGCACTTTAGTTCTACATTTCAAGGTGTCAATCTTGCTAATTTTCATATTTCTATTCGGAGATACAAACTTTAATGCTTGTGATGTTCATGCCTGTCTTAATAAAAAAATGATGTAACTAAAAAAATAATATAAAATAGTCTCTAATACTTTACTATTATTATTATGTAATGGGAAAGTATAGAATGAAACCATTTGCCTTTGGTACAAGGTCAGACATTAATCTTGACCATTGGATGTGAAATTGGGTGGAAGCAATTATTCCATTAGACATTAAAATTAGATGGATGCAATTATTCCATTGACCAAGCTCAAACTTCAAAGGAAGGTTTTGCAAACTTCATATCGGATGGTTGTAAGCAATTGCGACCACCTTGTATCAAAGGTAAATGGTCTCATTGTATATAATCCTTTATAAAATAACTTTTCAAAACATACATTTTTTCATGTCATATAACTTATTTAACGGAACAGGTTCTAAACTTCAGTCTAACTCACCTCAAACTCTGATCGAGTTTGAAAGAAAGACTAATGCGATCTTGTGAGAGGATATAGTTTTTTATTTTTTTTTCTTTTTCACCCTTTTTCTTTTTTACTTCTGGCCAAGATTAATTACAAGTAGGTAAACTCTTGTTTCAAAGAAAATAAAACTAGCAAATCTAAAATCTTAAAAATCTTGATGCCAGTAAACTAATTTTCTTTAATCAAAGAAATAACCATAAAAAAAATAACCATAATTTTTATGTTTGGGAAAATAAAAACAATGTAATTAAATATGGTAATAAACAAAACGAGTGTTGGAGATTATCTCAATCGGGCTTATTATGTTCCACACTGCGCCACCATCATCCGATGGTACATGATCAATTATTAACTTTCAATTTCAATCGGGAAAGTAAGTTTAGGTCAAACCTTTCAATGGAACTTTTGAACTCCTCTTGATCACAAATTTCAAATTTAGGTATAAACTATAGAATCTAGTTTAAGAGAGATAGTATCTGCTTACTTCTACCCAACCTTTAGGATCAACATAACATTACATAAGAGAGAGAATACCATCTAGGTGGGACGTGCCCTTTAGATCTTATTGAGAGAGTGATAGATGATCTAAGTGGAACGTGATGCTTACCAAAATTCTAGAGAGAGAACTAGGTTGCGGTGTTCCCTTTAAGCTTATTAAAAGAGTGAAATATTTAAAGAGAGAAGAGAGATATTTGGGTTTTTCATGGCTTGCCTTTTCTTGTGAGATTGAATATGTATCATTGATCTTGGGTGAATTGTGGGGTGAGAGATTTGAGCAAATCCATTCTATAGATAGGTTATCAATATCATATGGAAGATGTTAGAACTTTTATCTCTTATTTCTTAAATCATTTTATCATCAATAGAAATTAAATAAATTGATTTCAATCATAATATTGCTCTTACCAAAATTATGCACAAACCTTCTCATGTTTTCCAAAAATTCATTCAAAGCTTCCTTAAAGCAAAGGCTTTCTAAAACATCACATGACTTTATTTCCAAACCAAAGCTTGATATAAAAAATGGAAAGTTCCTTGGAGTGGGGCGTTCCACCCTAGGTGGCACTCATGGTCCCCAACCACATTGGAATGGTGGTCCCATATAGCTTATTGAGTCTCCCATACAATAATCAAATTAATTTAAATATTATATGAATTGTAAAAATTCATAAAATTCAATTTAAATAATTAAATCAATCTAAAATCAATATATTTATTTTTATAAATCCAAATTTGATAAATAAAATATCCAGAAATCTAGAAAAATTCAAATAAAAAATCTAAAAATCATCTATTATTAAAAAATATAATTAAATTCATTACATAGGAAATGATCCATATGGTTTAGGAATTACATAAATAAACAATGGGCCACTCCACCTTTAACTGTGGACTATGGTCTACAGTTGTTTTCTCAAACCGATCCAGTATTGCACGTGATCCACAGTCCACGTAGAGGATCATTAGTGGATCACCAAAGTCTAATCAATGTGTAAGGGCCCGTAATCCCAGTTTGTGGATTTCAAGTTCTCTTCTAGAGATGTATCAAGGTCACTCAGACCTGATGCCACTACAACTCATATGACATATAGGAGTATCTCTCGTACATGCATAAGCTTCACTCTAAAAGATGATTCACTTTTTTTAAACAACTATCATATATGCATGTCGTGTGATGACACGCAGATGAGGTTTTGGCCCCCGTCTTTGAAGGCCACCATCACACATAAAGATTACATAATCCCTCGGCTCACTCATCCGGACATACTCCGACCTCATCAACGAGATAACCTATTAAAAACCTTATCGGATAGTTTTCTATGCCCAAGTAGCTTAAGTTTTTCCCAACCGACTAGCTTAGTTTGTAAAGTTCAGTTCGATATCAACAAATGTTATTTACTTAATATGATCCATGAAGGATTACACTCTCACTCAGTTCATGTTCTATCGTATCAAAATGTTTATTACTAGTACTCGTGAAGCTTTTAATGGCCACACTCACCCAGCAAAGTCCACGTACTATGTTGGCCGTGAGTATTGGTTTGAGACCTAAACCAGATTGCATACAATCTCTGAAGTAATCTCTAAAGTAGATCCCTTAACTTTCTATCTAAGAAACACTTAGTGGATCTTTTACTCGAGGGAGCAAGCATACACGAGGATCGTGCAAGAGCATTCCACGAAGCAAACGTTTGGCATTTCTCTCTTAAGAGGGACACAGTGACAATAAATGCTTAAGAATTTAATGCGCCATCCTGCACAAGCAATTGTTTTATCTTTTTCCAATTTTACTAATATTTTTTCAATAGAAAACTATAACATTTTTTTAGAATGTTTCGTTAATTTTACAATTTTTTTTTTAAAAAAGTACCTTATAAAAAAATAGGGAAAATTACACATATATATTATATTTTGTGTTATTACGGATGTACCGAATAGTTTCCATTATTACATGTCTGTCCGTTTTTTACCTTTCATAACGCAAATTTTAAAAAAAGATGACTTTATCCTTTGTCGGGTGTTGAATAACCGAATTGAAGGGTTTTTCGGATATCCAAAAATAGCCCGAAAGTTTAACGTTCACATTCTCATTTTCGATTATCCGAAAATAGCCCGAAACCTTATGGAATTTTACAGTCATATTTTCGGATGTTGAACATCCGAAAATGTCAAACGTCCGAAAATGAAAATGTCATATTTTTGGATGTTGATCATCCGAAAATGAGAATGTAAACGTTAAACTGTCGAGCTATTTTCAGATGTTGAACATCTGAATAACCCTTCAATCCAGTTGTTCAACACCCAAAAAAGAGTAAAGTCGTATTTTTTAAAAAATTATGTTATAAAAAGTAAAAAACGGACAGACATGTAATAACAGAAGCTATTTGGTACATTGGTAATAATGAAAAGTATAACAGATATGTATGTAATTTTCCCTCAAAAATAAATTTGAGAGATTTAATGAATTGGGTAAAATTTATGGAAGTGCCATTTGGTCCATAATATTCAAAATTTTGTGATGAGGTCATTTTAAATATTATTTTTTGTTTTCTAGAATTTTTTTTTGCTCAATGTTGGAAACTTTGAACAACTTTTTTAGTAATTCTTCTATTTTTGTGGTTTTTAGGGTAGTTAGATAACTGAAATATCGAACTGGTCCATTTTTAGGACAGTCTGATGTTAAAAACATCAGCCGCCCTATAATTTCACTCGATATTCTTAAATGTGATTGTTTGATGTTTGAAATATTGAATCACTTTAAACTTAAAAAGTAAAAATAAATAAACAAAGGTTTCTCCAACGTTACCTAAAGGAAAAAGTTTATGTAGAGCCGAGCATCTAAACAATCAAATTAGAGCGCACTTCAAAACTTTTACTAGAAGATGTTGTTTTAATGCCCAAATATCCTCAAATTGATCATCTCGACATAAAGATGCATGGCCATAAGAAAAAAATGGATTTCAAGTTTTAAAAATAGTATATCTTAATAGAAACAAAATTCAAACAAGATAGGAAAGTGCATTGCTCTTTCCTTTTGAGAGGAGAAAGTCACGAGATAAGAAAGTGCATATTGCATGTCACAAGATAAGAAAATGTCTATTGCATCTTCTAATGCATTTTTGGATCGTCAATTTATGAGGTTTTCAAGTTTTCACATATTCGTTCGCTCTATACTATTTTTGGAGCTTATAAATATATTTAAGGCTATCACAAAGATTTCCAGTATTGAAACTATATTTCTCGACTCTAAATGAAGATGTCTACTTTGATTGTTTAGAGCCTCTGCTCTATGCAAACCACACCCAGGCCTAAATCTAACACGGATTGTACATCTAGTTCTCTCTCATTTGAAATGGATTGTACCAAAGCACGCGGTTATTCTGGCTCTGCCACATAAAATGGGCTTCATGTCCCATCTCCTCATCCCTACCTTAGGCAATTTGAAGTTAGTAAA